GTAGTCAATGGGTTGGTTGTTCTTAAAGTATTTTGCGAGTGAAGTTTCTTTGTATTCCTTCAACCCTAAGTAAATCGGATGGGCGTAGGTTGGAAAATATCAATGAGTAGTATTCGACGATGGGTCTTACACAGACTTTATAAAGAATGATTTTAGTTCCGTTTAGAAAGAAATTACGAAGAATGAAGCCTAACAATCTCCGCATTTGAGATGCTTTCTTTGAGATATGTTCTGAGAAGTTAAGACTTTCTGAGTAATGAACCCCTGGGTAAGTTACTGATGTCAGTCTGGGCAAGGGTTTTTTAAGTGCTAGTTTTATTTTAAGAGACGTGTCTCCAATACATATCAAAACGAATTTCTCTGTGTTGAGCTCTAACCTCCGGCATTTGCACCAGTTGACTACCTTGTTGAGTTCATGTTAGATTGTTTGCATAGTACTACGTACATCGCCAATGTCAGTTTTATAAATGACTTTTAAGTCATCAGCGTGGAGGTAGGTCTTACATGTGGTAAAGCACTTGCATATATTGTTGATATAAATTAAAAAAAGCAATAGACCCAAGACACTACCCTGCACAACACCACTGGTTATTGGTCGAGGTGTAGATGTTGTAGAGTTAATCTTCGTTATTTGGTGTCTGTTTGTGAGGAAAGACTTAATCCAATGCAATATGAGGTTTATAATTCCAACTGACTGCAGTCTGTTGATCAGAAGATTATGAGGTACTTTATCAAAGGTTTTCTTTATATCGAACTACAGTATAACCACTAGCTTCTTCTGGTCACGTATGCGAGTAACCTCGTTAAAGAAGTTTATCAGACATGTACTGCAGGACCTTGTTCTAATGAAGCCATGTTGTGATGGGTATATCAGATCTTCCCTAAGTAAATGATCAGATAGTTGACTTTGTGTCACTTTTTTCATTATGCGTGATATAACTGGAGTGATATTTATAGGTCTGTAGTTTTCGACCAGGTTTCTCGGTCCCGATTTGTGTTTGGGAAGAACATACATTACCTTTCAGGCTTCGGGACATGTACCCGCCTCTAAAGATAGCGTGTATATTTTGAGCAATAACGTCTGTATATCCTGTCCTGACATTTTATGGAGGACTAATGGGATGTCATCGGCACCAGAACTCGCATTCAGCTTAAGGGTTTCGATGGAGGTGTGTATACTCCTAATATCAAAGCTTATGGTGCTAAGATAATTTTTGCTGATGCACTTTATGTTAATATCTGGGGTATAAGATGTATTCTCGTTTTGGGAAAAACATTCACTTAGCAGTTCGTATATGACGGTTTGGTCATAATACGTCACGCCGTCGTGCGGTAAGGAGTGAATTTTGTAATATTCGTTCTTCCTTTTGCAGGGAGCCGACATAAGTTTTGGGCTTTATATGCAGTAGTGAGCACATTACGTTCTTCTGCCTGTTAATGTTGTGATGACTCTGCACTCCTTCAAGTACGGAGTATATATGGTGCAGGGCACTAAAGTCATTCGATATAAAGCACGTCCTTCCTAGTTTTCGCAGCTTAGACTTAGTCTTTTAGTTTATATGGAGAGTAATTGTTTTGAAAGCAATTTTAGAAGGGATGGTGATGTCTAAAGCATATTTGGTGCAGTATTGAATATTTCCAATGTTTCTAAAAGGTTATCACTGGTAAAGAAACTATTTCGGTCAGAATGCTTTATTATAAACCGAAAGTTTTCCCAGTCAGCGTTTGCATAGCCTCTATATTGGAAACGCGTATTTAATGTCTTTGACAACCGTCTGTTTACGTACATATAATACTTTTTAACCAATATTCGATTCAACCGTTCATTTGAAAATCTGCCACCCATTAAGCTGAGCTCTAACGGTCGCTGTTCAGTCAATACAGATCTTAGTCATATTCATATTTTATCAAACTATGTCCAGCTCATATCCCCTGATGCTTATTACGCCTGCACCAAAGCAAATGATAGGAAACTATGTAAACACACTGAACAATCCACATCGTATTCAGACCCTTCTGCATATACACTAGACATGGATAAATTACTTAAACGTGACCTCTCAATGCCTTTCATCTAATGTGTAGATGTAAAAACAACCAACCACAAACTGTGCCACTCGACATTATTTGGCACTTCTTGCAGTCTACCCAGAAGTATCACTTGCTGTGGGCAGTTTTTAGTATGTGTGACTGACCTCAAACACTCAGCAAACCCACAATCGAACACCTTGTATAGAACCTCACAGATTTCAATTAAGTCTACTTGCAATAAACGGCACACTGATGTTTAGCTTGACTACTCACCCGAACATATATTTTATTCCTCACACACAAGTTGACCACGGAATAAAAACTTGCAACAAGTCTTTATGCAACCACGTCGATCACATCAAACTCAATGCAAACTTCAATACTTTCTTTACTGACCATTCCAAGAGTAGTCGAATGGAACCTAACATTACACAAACTATTCCCGATTTATTGTCATACAGGAATCTAACCAGTGTCCTAAACTTCCTCATCTCGAAGTTTTAAGGAACAACAAACATGTGAATGACCATATATCATCAGAAGTGTAGAACTATGGCTTACTTCTTTGTTTGTACTATTATTGTGATAGACCTAATCCTAAGATTGCAAATTTGTCATGACGGGACTGTCTAATCCATAGGATATTACGAGAAAGTCACATCATTGTCTATTCTGTCTCATCGTTCTACAAGAATAAGTTATATTGTGTCTAATGTTTTTGAGGAGCACATTCGGGGCTAGAGATAAAATAATATATTTCATGTGAGTGATGACAAGTTATACAAAATGACCACGTCTACAAGGGTGAGCCATGACATCCGATTAAATGACTGAATTCATTCTTCCTGCCTTCTCCACTGTTGACCTCCTCTTCAAATCAACTGTTGAACATAAATCTTTTCAGTAATTATAAGCTCGGTTTCCAAGATAGTGTGGTTACAGTCCAATGCCACCACAATACTCTCTTCTTGGTTGGAATTAGGGAGACCGGAATCCCTGCTTCCTGGAAAGTAACCAGGATGTGACAACTTTCAACAAAAGCCCCACTCTCTGCCATTTTCAGAGGTGAAGACACAAAATACCCAGTCTATTGAACCAGTTGCATTACTTCTAATACTGCCAAAGACGGCAGAAGGACTGGTCAACTAACAACTAAGGGTATACATGGATAAAAACAATAACCTTCATGAAACTTAATATGGATTCCGAAAGGTCAATCTACGAATAGTATGAAAAAATCTGGACGAACTAATGTGACCATAAGATACTGGTTCATGTAGTACTGCTCGATTTACGCGAAAGCCTACAACACAATGGTCTACGCACTTCTCATAGAGAAGGCTGCAACCATGGGTCTTACAGAATCAATTTTATCGGGGATACGAACGTACATAGATAATAGAATGTTTCGTACAAAGGTAGGTCGAGTGCATACCAGTAGAAAGGTCTCACCATCAAGAATTTCACATGGAAAATTCTTGAATCTGCTCCTGTTCTCTACCTACATCAATGACGGCGGAACTGATCTATGCAAACGACGCAAAGTTCTAGAGGCTAATAAAAAAACAAGAACGATTCACTTGAGCCTGAAAGGACCTACCGAGTATGAAGGAATAGGCGGCAGACAATCAATCAGCGCATAAGCTGTTGAACTGTCATACCATGAGCGTTCTTGCTCATTTGACACAAAACAATCACGTCCTCCACTGGAATGGGCTTCCGATTGTCTCCTCAGAAGGTAATCCCTGGCTTGCGACCACAGTGGGCCAAGTCACCAGCTCAAACATTAATCATACGAGGACAGACTCCAACACTTGGGACAAGAGGTGATCTGATAATGCAACGCAGCATATTAAGTTCGTCAAGCCACCCAAACACGAGCATATTACAAGAATATCATCATGCTCCCAGAGGCAACCCTCAAAGGACTGAACACCAAAGAGCAAACACCCAGGTACACTTACACGTTTTTCCACTCAGAATCGCTCCCATTTGAAATGCTTTCCCAGCCGAAGGGATCAAAGCCTCATTAGTAGATAGCTTTAAGTGGAGACTTGACAAAAACGTAGTGACCCATGGAATACCATCTTCCTCTTGTGTCAGCTGTGTCTGGTGCATATCTCTAAAATTACCACGGTCACCATTATTTCATATCAGTAACTACTTCCTTTCTATAATCGTTATCTCCGTTTCCCCTCTTATTCTTCTAATCCACTCTACTTACACATTGCCAATTGAGTAAACCATTCCTTTATTCTTGAAACAATCACCTTCTCTTAGCACTCAAATTATCACTTTGTTGTTTTCACATTGCAACCAATCAACCCCTTTTCTGGCAATGTGATAGTTACAAGTATACGGAAACCTTATTGCCGTAAAACAGATGTGCGATGGACCAATATATACCAATTCCAATAACGAAGTTATTTCGAATGAAAATCAGTGTATGAATATACCAAATATAAATTATACACACAAGAAAAATATACAGGGCGTCACTTGAATTGTCAGGAATAAGCGTGTTCGAGATTCTTTTGATCTTGTAATCCGCAACTATAAGCATTTGTTAATTCTAATTCTAATTGCTATTATTTGAGGTGTATATCCAGATAATTCATGTAACCAGGGTATCACTGTAATCTGTGAACATAGAAAGTATGCTGGAGTTCCATTATCGTAGCGGCGGATACTTGAGAACAAGAGGCATATGTGTGCAGTTGCATATTTATGAGCGATAATCGATGGGGTGTTCAAAAACAGAACGGAAGAACAAATGTTATGTATTAAAAAAACAAAACAATTTTCAGTCAATTCTGGTTATTGCACAAATTATGAGAATTGATGAGAAATGCAAATCACAGCAAGAACTAATAACAAATAAGTCTATTCTAACTATCCCCACAAACGCACTCAAATATGAAATGTACAAATCCATGAATAATTACCAAACTGACTAGAATTAGTACACTAGAGTAGAGAGACTGTCACCCAATGTACATTACCGAATACCTGAGACCGTACTGAAGCAACAAGGAACGAGCACAAGGGAATTGACCGGTTTATTCAAGTTCGTGACATGGATATTGGATAATGGATGCGATCAAAACAACTCCAAGGTCATCTGATCTGTTGCGTAAGTCTGTTCTCATAATTGAACTATACGGCTCAAGCTGTTTATTTTCTCTTAACGTCTGTGATGAATTTCCAGCTTCGTTTGCAAAATCTATCGTCAAATCTTTTCAAGGAAGCACAAAGGTTCACTGATTACAATATACGCTCATACTTTGAGCGAAAGATCGACAAAATTTTCAAAAACCTTAGTCAAGTCGAGGATGCAAACATTTTGGAAACTGGACTAAAGAAGAATGAAGAATTGCTAGAAGTCCTTGCGAGACAGGCTACTCTAAATAACATATACCCATCGGGTAAAAGTGTGATTGAGTAGACTCTCTATTTTTATCTAAATACATTTTACTCGATTAATTATTGATATTTTGATGCATTTATCAACCTAACAATGCCGAACTGTACATATCCTGGTGTAAAGTGGATAAATAACTAGACTAGTTTTCCCTAGCATCCAAAGAAGTTCTTTTCGAAGTGTCGCAAATCAACTTATCGTTTTTAAATAACATCCAAAGCCTGTCCAGAAAAATCTGATTTGGATTATCCCGGGTGAAGCTTGGATGCTTTGGGTATTTTGCTGCTTAAATGTAGTCTCTCCTGTCACCTGGTAGGACTTCGGGCATATTGTTGTCTTTTCGCCATTCTACTAGATTCTACAGTTTTTTAAGTCGAAGTCTTAATCTTTGATGATAGTCGGTCATTTGCATCAATTAAGCCTTCAGTTCTACTCTGGAGAGAAAGCGCATTATAATTACCGTAGTTTTTTTGGTCCCAAGAGATGTATACATACACAGTACCTGTTGCATATAAGTGCTATTCTTAACTATATCTTCATTGTTTGTGTATGTTCCGTTTAAATGTCGCATTGTGGGTTCAAGAGGCCATTGTCTCTTATTCGACAGCGAAGGAAAGGTCATCTACGGTAGTACCAAATATCCTAGTACTGGGAGCGAAGGTTATGTATGACATTAGTGTACTTACAGTGAACACGCTGGGTAATCTGACTGCACAACAGAAATCTTCGGTAAGTCACATAGTAGATGAACTTCCACAAAATGTCAGATTAGTCGTTAATGAAGTGGGTGCTCAAGTTATTTTATTCAAAATCAGTCAGTCATACCGTGGAACCTGTATGTATGTGCATCGGTTTAAGTTGCCATACCCCATTAGCACAGAGAGATGAAGTTGTCAGGCCGAATCCCAGAATAGTAGAGGTATTGATAGTATCATTTGAAGACCCGAGCGTGTCATTGGTCTGTAGATTTATGATACTTAATTACTAATTGCACGAGAGTGGGAGTTTGTCGGTAGAAAATTATAGAGAAAGTTTACTCTGGCGGCCACCTCATTACCTCAGGTAAAAAAGAATCCTCTGTGGTCCCTTTACTCGGTCACAAAATTCCTCGAAAAGATTCTATGGTAAGATAATCCAACTAATTGTAAGGGAAAGACGTCAAAGTCCCTCAGTGTCGTCGGGTAATTTGGAGTGATCGAAAAATCGGATCTTTAAGCCAGACTAGCTCGAGACGACTTGCTGATATCAATCCGCAGTGTATTGCCGTATAATTCATCGGAGATTCATGTTAAACTAGTAAAAATTGCCAAGAGAATGGGTGGGAATACTGATGTTTAGACATGTGGACTTCTCAATATGATCTTAAGGTTGAGTGAACAAAAAAATCTTCGAGCTAGTACTTGGACTCAGGATAACATTAGTATTCGCCTCAGACCTGTGATGTTACTAGATGCCCGGTTTGAAAGGAAGGCGAATCTGGATGAGACATCAGCCTGAGGCAAAGTAGTGAAGGGAACTTCTGATTGATGTGCTTCCAGGTAGTCAGGTCTTGGTAGAGAATGTCGTCAAGGCTTGTATTAGTGAATCATTCGCTTTACGAGTTTAATTTACCAGTACTCGTAACCTGGGAAATAAATCCCACGAAATTGGGATGTAAGTGGATGGATTAACAACATCTATCCTAGCTGTAACTGAGACTTAGTCACCACATAACCATTGCATTACCTCAAAATTACTGAGTTGTTTCTTCATAAGAAATGATGCAAGTAAATGCCTCAAGGAGAGTAAAGTACTACTATACATTAAATATTTTTCGCCCCTTTGTTCTTCTGTTCGTGAGCCATGAAAGTGAGCCTTATGAAGTCGTCAGTTTTGAACTTGATCTTTAAGGCCACATACAGTAGGTGTTTTCTATCTTAAACCAATCTACGCGATCAGTGATTTAAAAGAACACAAGCTATGGAGGAAGAGTAATATACTTAGTATTAGGGGATTTTAATGCACCTGACGTAGGTTGAACAAACTTGTCCTCGATCGAATCCGACAATACATTCGATACCAAGCTATTTGTGACCGTGATAGAGGATTTAATTTGTAATGCTTCGGGTTATCCCGTCATTACTATTTTTACTGAATTCCGACCAGTCTTAGTCGGCATATTTGCATTATGTGCAGATTGCATAGATATGGAATCCTTGTTTCATTTACGAAGCAGATATTCTGAAACGATTTCAGAAGGCAGCAACCAAATCGGTGACAGGTCTTTTGTCGTATGAAGCCAAGCTGAGATGCCTAAAAGTGTTACAGTTTTCTGATACAAGTTAAGAGGTGATCTCATATTGGCTTACCACATAATGAAGGGTGGTGTTAGTATTAATGTCTTTTTCTTTCATCTAGGGCTGATCATACAAGATGGCAGAAGGTGCAGAATTGAATATTCGGTCGTGAAGTTCTGGAATCCTCAGCCAGAACATCTAGAGTCAGTACCTTATATTAATATATTCAAAGCGAGCCTAGATCTTTATGCCATTACAAATCAAGAGGATTGACATCGGTCACTCGACCTTCTATCCTTTTCAACCGAAAACTTGTCATCACACACTAAGAACCTAGGCTACGTGTAAATTTTCATTTAATAAAATCCAATACTCATAGGTATGCTGGCTAAATAATTAAGTATCTGGGGAACATCCTAAAAAGTTATGGTCACAAGAATCTTGATGATTTAGAGTTTCTCGAAAGATGTGCTAATATCATTCAGCATAATGGAATACTCAAGTAGACCATTTTTGTGTATCTCCTAACATTTAATGGTTGTGTCTCTAAAATCCTAATTTTAAACCATATATATATATATATATACTCGTGCTTGGTAATGGCAGTAATACTAAAAGGGCCCGAGGCGAAGTTCACGGGGAAGAATGATCGTTACTTACAATTTAGGGTACAAGAATATGTATCAATGTGGCTGCAGCGACAAATAAAGTCAAGTGGTCTAATAAGATCAGACAACGAGTCCGTTTTCGTCCATTGCTGAAGACATAATCAAAACGGCTTTTTTCAAGATTGCTCTTAAGTCAGCCTTTGTGGTTTTGTGCAAAAGCTATCCAAGTTGAATACTCAAGTTCACCGGAGTCTTAGCTATACGGAAATTCATATCCCTCTTGCATGTTCGAAAACAATCTACCCTTACGCTAAGCCTACCATAATAGTGTTGATTCCCTACTCTTTGTTGGAATTCACATAGTTTTCCTTATTCTCTTTGTTTTCTGTTATCTGTCAGTGTCTAGTTGACCCTTATTTATTGCATGAAATGCCTTAATGAGGAAATTTGTGGTTAGATTTCCCGAAATGTATACCTCTAATATATTTTGTACTTTTGATAATCTTCATCTCGTTGCGTTATCTGATTATCGATTCATCAGATAACTCCTGAGAATACTAAATATGATTTATCGATAATAATAACCTTGGTATTGATACTTATAACTTATCGACCTTCAGTAAAGGAAGTGACTTTTTATCTACTTCATTTGTTTTCCTGTTTTTGGCGGAAATCTTATGTATTTATGTGAATAGTGAATACGCAGAAGAAATTTCCATGTTGCGATAATGCTGTACAAATAAAGTACAAGTCTGTTTCAATACTTTGAATGCTCAGAATATTTTGTACCTAGAAATTGGTTACTCATTAGTAGTCACATATTATTGCTCAATGTTTTGTAAATACTACCATCCTTGGAAAAATCTTAAGACGACCAATCACAATACAGGTAATTTGTACCGAGATTAGATCATCTTAACCGTGGACGGGATTGTAAACAATTTCGACTAGTTGTGTATTGTAGATGATTGGTATAAACATCATATTTGTCATTGCAAGTTGACGTAAGTTTGATGGGAGACAAGATGCACTGCCATTTTATCCTAAATATTCTTGAAATAGATAACCCATCAGAGATGAGTTTTTTTATCAGGTGCCAATTGACCACTGAAGTAGATGATACTTTTGGTGTTGAAGTGTACCAATAACATACTGTTGACAAGTTTAGATGTAATAATAGATTGGTAAAGATCACAGTGTACCATTTCAATATGGCGATTTCATTGTTTATTCTGAAGTCCGTATTGAGAACGTCTAAGGTCTATTCAAGACCATATAAAAGTGTTTTTTCAAAATACTACTAAGCGGATTGTAAGCTAATTATAAGAAATCAATTTCTTTCAAGTAGAATGACTTAAGCTAGGTATGTACATATTATTTATATATTATTCCACAGTTCTTCAGAATAAATTGACTCGACAGTTTGTGGATTCCCACCTTTCTTTAAATTCATTGTCAATCTAGTCAATAGCGAGTATAGAACCATTATTCTATATAGTTTAAACCACGGGCTAGCTTTAGTTGGAAGACTGTGGAAAGTCGAGAGTCATTCGACAACTGTTTCGTCTAAGTATGCGACTCCTCACTAGTGTACATCGATCACCCCACCAGGAACTGAACAAATAACGTTCGAGCCTCGTAATGATTATATATCCGTAAAACCACTATAATGGTATCTAATGGTTTACGTTCTCAACTCCCTTCAGTTTATGATGTTCAACGATCACTATCAATTGTCATTGCTGATACCTGACTCACGTGCAATGCCGTTCCCCTTTACTAGCTACAACTTCTCACTAGAACTTCAGAAATTATCTTTTGAAGCTAGCTACAAATCTTTCAGGTGTCCAGAGATAGAACTTGTTTTTACAAGTCACTCAGGTCAGTTACAAATTATTAAAAGTGCGTTCCAGAAAGGTTATTGAAGTCAACAAGATAGGAAAAGAAGTAGTAACTCACCACTGAAGTTGAGTAAGAATCTTATTTTGTCATAGAAGTGAAAGGAATGAAGGATGATTCGGAAAACCATCAAAAACTGAGGATCATTAAACATATGATTTGTCCTAATTCAGGACTTTCCGTGATGGTATTTACAATGGATCGACCCCAGGGGATACAAAACTTGATGTTAGCAAAACTCATGTAAACTTGTGATCCTAAAGTTTCCACTTTTCCTTT